TCGCTACTGTACTTGTTGAAGTGTAAAAATCGGTCTTAAGTCTTCAAGAGTGACAACGCATCTGCGTTATGATTCTTAATCGAGTAGAAATGTAGATGTCTATGGGTCACAGCATCCACTTACCATCAGGTGAACTGTGTGCTCGTTTGTCACCCTTATTCTATAAAAAAAAACTTTAATCTACTCCCGGCCGCCGGTGTGTGTAAATTAACCAGTGTCCAGTTGGCATTATTCCCGTACACAGGTATAATTAATAACAAGTTCTTCTTACTAAATAGGTATACCTTATAAAAGATTTAAACATATTAAAATTTTTTATGACATAAAATTTTAATGAAAAATACTTCTAGTTCTTTACTTACGTGTACTTCGTTACTAGATATGTATATTTTCTATAAATCTTGAACATAAAAATATTAATAAGACATTGTTGCAGCATTAGTTGGTATGCTCAGTACCTAGATTATAGCATTATAGCTAAGATGGTCAACACTATTGGCCTCAATAAGGGTTTTGATTTGTTGCGTCTCGGCACGCACCTTCTGTCACCACGTATCTCGAAATTATTGCAACAAAATAGGATTACAAGGGCGACACAGAAAGTTTTTGAGAACTGGCCACTTGTAAACGATATAAAAAAAATAAGTTCAAATTTATAAAATGGAACTCTGCCAATATTTATGTTTGGTAGAAAAAAGCGCTAGGAAGCGCTTGTAAGCAAAATGGCGATCGTAAGCGGTAAGCGCTGTCAAATGGTAAATCTTCCTCTAGGACACTAAGTTAGCTTTAACCTAATTTAAATATATGTTTGTAAAGTATTCATATTAAAAACTTATGAATTTTTAATACCATGTTTAATATGTTTATTCATGAAACTATGCATATTAGTTATTTAGAACTATTACTAATTTAGAAGTCAATTTCAAAAAACTAAACTAATACAATTCAGACCACGACAAAAACATGAACTGGAGATAAATTATACATATAATCAAACAAAATTAGAATGTGTTCAAAATTTTTCTTTGCTGGGTATAAATATTGATTCGAATGTTAATTTTAAATCACATATTCAAAAAAAATAAGTTAAAATTATCACAATTTATATATGAAAGTAAAGTAAAGTTACAGACTATATACGTCCCACTGCTGGGCTCAGGCCTCCCCTCATTTCTGAGAGGGTTTTAGGGCAAGGAAGTGTCCGCCCCCCGACGAACTTCACATGTCTTCGAAATATTTTTTTTTTATTCCTCAGACATGCAGGTTTCCTCACGATGTTTTCCTTCACCGCCGAGCACGTGGTAAATCAGCACTTAAAATTGCAATTAACAATTTCATTGGTGCCGGCGGGGATCGAACCCGGGTTACTCGCGTTCTGTTATATTTACAGCGAGCGTTAACCACTGAGCTACCACGGTTCTCAATTTATATATGCTTTAAGAGAATTAAAAAAATCTACAAATTTAAAAAAGGGCGTGACAGCCTATCACGCCTACGCTCCAGCGTGGCTAAACTACGGCGTCATACTATGGGGCAACAGTGTAGAATCACACGAACTTTTTATTTTACAAAAAAAAAATGTATACGCGTACTTGCAAATATCAAACAAAAAGAAAGTTGCAAACCTCACTTTCAAAGTCTCAAAATTCTAACATTACCGTGCCTATATATATTAGAAATATGTAAGCTATAAGAATAACCTTTTGCAACCAAAATCTAAATTAAAATTACACAGCACAGGTCCTTACTCGATGTCAATAAAAATTTATAATAAATTGCCGGAATACATAAAAGCCGAAACAAATATTATAAATTCATAAGATCTTTAAAAGAGATACTTATTAAAAAAGTTATTATTCAATTAATGAATACATTCTGTTGTTTTACTGTTCATTGCTATGGCTTTCGAGGTGCACGTGATTGTTAGAACTTGCATGTTTTGTCTAGTTTCCAAGTCACATGTAACGCAATTTGTGAATAAATAAATAAATAAATAAAAGTAATCGGAATCTCGGAAACGGCTCCAACGATTTTCATAAAATTTTGTGTCCAGGGAGTTTAGGGGGCTATAAATCGATCTAGCTAGGATTTATTTTTAGAAAATGTCTTTTTGTCCGTGTTTTCAGGCAATGAAAAACTGCTGCAATATCAGAAGGTAAATTTTGACACTGTGTTAAAGATCGTAACAGCTCAAGTGGATATCGAGCGGTCGCGAAATCGTATTGCCTTGGTTCGCGTCCTATCTTCAGTCCGACTTTTTTCCTTTTTTTTTCAAGTTCCCTTCTTTTGTGAGAAAATCTATTATTTCGAGCCTTTTTTTTAGTATTTTTTAAAAATACGAAAATTTTAATTAAGCTAATTGGACTCATGATTTTTTATTCAAATAACCAATTCAGTTTTTTTCCAAAAAATATTATTCATGTTTCATCAGTATGTAATTTGTATCTAAATGTAATCCAGGTAATCCAGGTCCTTTTATTAATTTGTCATTTATTTACGATTTGGCGGCAAATTAAAAATTGTCTGTGTCATGTCAGCATGAATTTAACGCGAGAAAATTTTCGTACAATAATTTTTTATGTCTTTAGATGTCATTTAAGTCAACAAAAAAGTTATGATATGATAGCCTTCAATTGGCCTTTCACCATGAAACCCCATCTTGTGCCAATGTTAACAACTGGTTAATGAATATTTAGTGGTCAGGAAGCTTTGTGCCCGGAGGATACCTCATAATTTGACAGAGGCCCAAAAACTCCGTCGTCTTGATTGGTGTTGTGAAATGGATCAAATTAAACGGAGGTGACTCAAAGAGAGGTCGAAGTGTGGGAAAAAAGATCGTGGCCTCTTTCTTCGGAAAGACAGGTCATTTGGTTCAGGTTTTTCAACAGTTGTTTTAGAAGATCGAAAAACAGTTACTGCAGAGTGGTATACTAACAATTGTTTACCACTTGTCTTGGAAAGTTAGGGAGAAACGACCTTGCAGTAAGATCTTCCTTCACTACGAACGCCTCGTCGCACACCGCCAAGCAAACAATCGACTACTTAGCGACGTCAGACGTGGAATTACTTACCTTGCGATTTTTATTTACTTCCGAAAATAAAAGAAAAACTTCGAGGAAAACGTTTTATGGTCGCCGAGGAAGCAGTAGCTGGGTTTCAAAATGCCGTCGAAGAGATCCCTAAGGACGAGTGGGCAAAGTGCTAGTTTGTTCAGTTTTTGATTTTTGACCTTTACTAGGAACTTGTCCTATACCGTAAAGGCGTTTTGCATAAATTGCACATCTACAAAAATAACCTAGCCGTACTGGTTTGAGACATTAGGAAGACATTTATTATAGCATTATAAATAAATTTATAAATCAATTATAAAACATGAGGGATTCTAGGAAGTGTGTGGCGGAAGAGGCATGTACTGTAATATCAAATATAACGCCACAAAAAATATCCGACAGGTTAATATTAAGTCTAATAATGCAAAGAATATTAAATTTCGTATTCTGACGTATAATGTATGGATGTCATAAGTAGCGCTTTCTTTTAATAACATGCTGAAGTATGATGTATTATATCACTAGATGAAAGCGTCGGATTTATTTCGCGAAAATACGCCAAACTGCAAATGATACAGAAAAGTGCGTAAATTTTTCTGAATATATGTATAACTGAAGTGCCAAAATAATTTGCAGTCCACCTGACGGCAAGTGGTTACTGCAGTACTCAGTATCACACAATCAACAAAAAAACAACACAAAATATTTTGAACATAAATTGCACAAGGACCATAAACATCCAGACCCGGAACAATTATTTGTAGACCAAACAATACTTATTCCGGACGGGATTCGAACCCGCGGCCCCCAGCGCAGCCACTCATTGCTAAGCCACTGCGCCACGGAGCCGTCAAGGACTAAGAAGGATTGCCTCGCAGCATGTAATTATATTGGCTCTCGATGCCCTCCAGACCGGAACATAGCAGTGCAAGCACATTTGGCGGCAGAAGTAGAGGTATGAGGGCGGTAAATATTTAAGATATTAAAGATTGATATTGTTTTGCGTTAACATGTGAACGGAAAGTATTATTTTATCGGAATTGGATTATTAGTCCAACCTTTGTTATTGGTTTTCACTCATTAAGTACTTAAAATTTATATAAGAGAAATCTATAAATACATTTAATTAATAACTTATATTGTGTTGAAGGAAATATTTGTAATTAATATATTTTGTATCTTTATAATATATTCCATTTGGATGAATAAAGAGGCACTAGGCAATTAAAGTTTAAAGTAGTTCAATAGAAATATTTAGAGCAAACCAAAAGAAAATTTATAATCGCCGGGATTAGTGCAATTTCAAGTGTTGACCTAGTACGATGTGCTCTGCAGTGAAGGGAAATATTCCATAGAAACCTGCATGTTTAAGAAAATTCAATACTTCGAATGTTTAGCCAATGAAAGCTAATAATGTTCCGTTCACTAGATGTCGCTAGTTGTGACGGAGGTGAACTTATTTGTTACACAATGTCATTATTATTGAGCAGTTGTGTTTAATATAAAGGTTTATCGGTTTCAAGTGTATGTAAAATACACAAAACAATATCTCAATGGTTTTCTCTTTAATTTTATTAGTTTCATTTTATTTAGTAAGTGGCCTAAGGAAATGGGGAGATCTCCTGCCGGGCAAGGTGTTCTGTCCAGGAAGCGGCCAACGCCCCGAATGGAGTTGGGAGCTATTTTATATACTGTTTTACTTCGGAACTTTGATAGCACGATTTAGGCTTTAACGTGTTTCGCTTATGGCGCGATGACAGAAAAAATAATAACTGTTTACAGCGAAGAACATTAATTCTTACATTTTCCAAACATATTAACTTTCCCCGCCATGAAATCTGTCAAACATTTCACCTCATTCTAAAGTGACGTCGCTTCGTCTTGGTGGCGGAAAAAGTAGTGGATGGCCCTTATTATTGTGTTCTCTAAAGCACGTGGTTGTCGTTGCAGGGTCTGCATCGGGCGTGGGGCAGTGGACGCGCGCCGCCCCCCGCGCCGCCTCCGGGCGCAGGTGCGGGTGCGGGCGCGGGCGCAATGGCAGCGGGTGCGGCGACGGGCGCTCTGGCGGGCGCGGGTGCGGGCGTGGGTGGCGGCGCGCGCGGGCGCCGGCCGGGCGCCGCGCGGCACTCGGCCGCGGCGGCCGCACTGCAGCTGCCACACGCTGGCATCTCGGCAGCCGCCGTGCAGGCGCTCGCCAACGGCTGGAGCCTGCCCGGACAGCTCACGCAGGCGCAGACGCAGCAGGTGCTGCGCCTCGCTCAGGTGCGACGCTGCACGATTCTCATATACACCCATCCATACATTACACCCTACAAGAGTGTATTGCTGAACATACAGATATACATGATAGAGCCATGCTGCAGCTATATTATGCTTGTAGCATAAATCGGGGAAGGAAAACCCTTTAGAGACCGGGGAAAATAGCAGCTTCATGCTGCTGTGTTTCATTTGGTCAATGTTTAGAACCGGAAACCCTTTTTACTGGATACGAGCTTCATTGCTTCTTAGTTCACAGAGATGAAAACGGATCTGCATTTTGATTCTTAATCGATGTAGATGTCTTACAATCAAGTGAAAAATATGTTCTTGCTCGTAACCATTATTCTATAAATAATAATTATAGATCTACGCCCATAGATTAAATAAAAATTAAAGTAGTTTTTCCAAAGTTGCCACGTTTAAAATATTTTGAGTTGTTATTTGAACTATTTGAAATTGAAAATTTATATGATTATAGTATATAGTCTGTTATTATTTTGATAATTAGTTATCAACAACCAAGATATTATTTTTAACGATTTGACCTTCGTATTCTAACGAGTGGTTCATGTTGTGTACGGAATTCAAAAATATTACTGTGCTAATTATACCGTTCCTTCTATTTTATTATTTAAGTCTAAAGCTATTAGATGCTACTTCACGAAGGCAAACCTTTCCACTTTTTCTGCCTTGGCTGATGTTTTACTAATCTTTATTGAAACGTTGAATCGTCAGCCTCTTCTTATTTCTTCGTCTACATCGTCTTTTTATATATCTTGGCAGTTAAGTTTTAAATCAACGCTATCAAAGCGCTAGTACCGCGCGTCCGTGTTTCGATTGTGCCCGCATTGTAATAACGCTTCGTTTTTATTTAGAAAGCGTAATTGCATTATTGCATTAAAGGTTTAAGTGTCTCGGATGCGTAACTCTGTTGTCTTCAAGGAAAGGAGTCCTGCCAACTAGTAAAAAGTCCGCGTACGGACCTTTTTTGAGTGCTGTAAAGGTAGCCATAGACGCTAGGAATGTACCTGTCAGGTTTGCCTGTACAGTTACATCCGTCAGGTAAGCTTTAGCTGACTCGAGGACGTACGAAGCGGTTGTGCAATATAGTTGAGAACTGTACAGGTAAACCTGTCAGGTAGACCCTAGTGTATATGGCTATCATAATGGGATAAATGTAAAAGTGTAACGTGGTTGGTTCAGGCGCAGGTGGCAGCGCAGGCGCAGGCCGCGGCGCGCTACAGCAACGCGGCCCTCGCCGCCGCCGCCTCGCTGCCGCAGCACCGCTCGCAGCAGCACCAGCGCAACGTGCAGGTCGGTGAACACATTGTGTCGTCAGACACTGCACCCACTACACACGGTGTCACTACAAACTGTAACACGGACACTGCTCTACTACGCACTGCGCAACAATGTGCTACTACATACTGCACCACTATACACCGCGACATTACATACTACGTCACAATACACTGCACCAATTACATCCTGCATCATAACACATTGCACCACTACACCATGTTATCACTACATATATACACACTGCTCTATTACGCACAACGCAACTATACATTGTACCACTAAATACTGCACCACTACACATTGTACTACTACACCATGAATCCCTACATATTGCACCACTAAACCCCGTGATATTACACACTGCACTGCACATCGCGACGTTACACACTGCACCACTACAACCAGCATCACTACACATTGCACCACTACATGCTGTATCACTTCATATTGCGTCACTAAACCCCGTGATATTACACACTGGGTCACTATACACTTCACTACTAAACCCCGTAACACTAAACACTGCGTCAGTATACATTGCACTGGTACAAACTGCACCGCACATCGCGGCGTTACACACTGCGTCACATTACGATACACAACGCGACGTTACACACTGCACCACTACACCCAGCATCACTACACATTGCACCTACACAAGCTGTATCACTACACATTGCACCACTAAACTCCGTAATATTACACAATGCACCATTATTACACTGTGACACTGCAAATAACATCCTTTCATGTAAAATAACATTTCAACATCTAAGTATAAAAATTGTGTCAAAATGAATTTATGAAATCCTGACGGCTTCAGATAGATGGTGATGTAACCATATAGTTAGTTACATATATGCCGTACCTAAAATCTCTGAGCGGCTAGGTGAGCAGCGTCAAATGTGCGAGATAGCTGGTACGCTATCACCAATCCGCATGTCTAGCGTGATGAATATGGCAAACCTTCAGTACAACCGGAGGGATTTGTGTGCAGGAATGGCTGATGAAGAAGAATACAATGAACTATCGTTTCCCTTGAAGAATATTAATATTTTAATTACATTTTATTTCGCTCACATATTCCATGACTATTTTCATAATTTCAATGCGCGTACTATGTGTGTTGCGTTTGGTTGTTTTATTAATTTATTACTACATTTTGTTGGCATCTAAACAAAAGCTGTAAAATGGTCGCTGTGTATTTGAACATTTTAATTATTCAATAGGCTATTTGACAATTACCTTTATCATTAAAAATACATGAATAAATGAATCGTCAAGAAAAAGTGGATTACAGAGAAATTCAAGACAGATTTCAAAGAAATTATAGTATATTTAAGTGTAAATTTTGTTATTTTCTTACTTTGGTGTAATATTTAACTATATCATAGCCTTTAGTGTTTTTTTTATTTGGTGTGATTTAGCGAACGATTGTGTTAGCAGCTGCATTGTTATGGTGAAATATGTTTTTGTTTGTCATTGGTTGCAGTTTCCGAACAGTGCAATAACAATGGCGATGGGCCAGCAGCCACCCCCACCTCTGGTGAGGAGCACTGCAAACACCACGACCATGAAGTGAGCATGCTTGTACATTATACCATTACATGTTATAGTAACAGCCTTTTATACTACTTCTTTAAAATTATGACCTCTCTTGATGGAATTTTGCCAGTGTCAAATAAGTCATGGAAGTGACAAGTAAATAATTATTATATTAAGAGTTCTCAATTTTCCTTGTATACTTAATAATTGATGTTTTTCATATTTATTGACATATCCTCATTTCATAGATGAGATTGAAATTCAATGTTGTATACACAAACTAATAAGTGATAGCGCACAGACTACCACCTTCAATACTAAAAAATTGGCCAATAGCGAGCCTCAATAATAGAAATTGACATTTAATTTTTTTAAATGTATCTAAGACAAAGGCATTTATTTACTTTAATCTAATGGCCAGTAATAGAATCCTCATAGAACTTTGAAAATTTATATTTATTCGTTTAAATTTATGTACGTGTTCATAATGTGACCATGTACACAAATTTGAACCCTTATTAATTTTCATTTCGGTATAAAAAATAAAATGCAGAGATATTTATTAACTTTTTATTTTTATATTTCAGTATACATTTACAAGTGCAAGTGCTTTTTTGTCATTTGAGGCATGTTCTTTCTTTCTGGGCCCAAAACATCAGTATCTTTTAAAATTTTGCCTTGAATTGTCACAGCCTTTGACAACAATTATAGTTACAATCCAATTTTTGATCGAAGTAACTGATGATTCTGCCACAAAGGTCCACATATTCAATTCAACTGATGTTGATGTAATGACTTTTCTTAAATTTTTCCCTTGTGACTTTTGTAGTTTTTGCTTCTTGCCCCATTTACTAAATCAAATAATTTATCGAACAGTTGATGCAGTGCTCCTCAATGTTGGCTCACCTCCTTACCATGAACATCATGAGCTAAAAAATATAATTAAACTTTTTAATAATTACAATAACATTATGTGAGTATTTTAAAGGGCCTTCTTAAGTACAATCAGTCTCTAAGGGCTATTTTTTCAATAATCACATAAAAGTTATTCAAAAAATCTCTATCCACTATCACTTCACGAATGTCAAACTAAAATAAGGAACTGGCAAAATTACATTAGACTATGAGGATAGTGAAAAAATACTGATATAGGTGAAGCATTTATTTAATACACGTATTCCCAATAACATGACACACACACACACACTTTCGAAAATTGAAAATTGTCTTGGTATACACATTCATTAGACTAAGAAATATGGAAGAAGGTGCTGAATCCTGACATGGTTCTTACCTAGTTTAGGATCCAGAGGCTTCATAGGATATTTGTAACTCATTTCATGTAAAAAAAGATTATTATTATTATACTTGCCACACTTCATCAGACGGGTCGACAATTTATTTAAATATTATTGGGTTGAAATCAGGAACATACTGCTGATCTTCTGTTTCATTTTCCTCATGTCAAATGCCCTCCATGTGAACATATAGTATGTTTAGCACTGTACCCATGATAGACTGTAATGTATGAAGGTTTATTGAGTTTGGATCCCTCCTTTTGGATTTCCCTGCAATTTATAGATACGGTCATAAAATTAATTTAAAGCTATCAAACAATACAATTAATACATACCTAATGGATTTTATAGTTTGAATAAAATTAACACCTTTTGGATATTTTTACTTCTACGTCAATATAATATGGAATAGTAGCTTTTTTTTAATACAAAGGCTGTTCCTAACTCCTATATATTTGTGCTTGTTTGTTTGGAAAATTCCACTCGCCATTGTCTTGTCACTGTTTTAATTTAAACCAGTTTCAATATTTTAGTGATTTTGACATCTATAATTAATTACGTTCCCATACAATAGCTCAACTAATAATGTAATGATTTTTAAGTTCCGAAAATTAATATAATTATAATAAATTGTTCCCGATATAAAATGAAATATTTTTAAAATTTATTGGTGATAGTATTTTTATTTATCTTAATTGTTCCAACTGAATGCCGTGAAATAGTGTAACTAGAATCATATATAAAATTGGTTTTACCTTGCAGTGTTCCACCACAAGTTACTGGGACAATGAATGGCCACTCAACCTCTCACTCCGTGGACACTCGCAAAAGGCTTACACCCATACCCGACATCAATATAACTGGCAGCCATACGCCGTATAAGGTAAGGAATATTTAGTAACTAGTTTACTTAAGTTCTTATTTCTCTGTATTGAAGAGTCATCTACGACATCACAATAATTTACTTCCATAGTGCAAATATACACTACAGAAAGATTGCTAATAAATAAATACTATTCAAACTAATTTTGACCGCTTGTTAGTACAAGGAACACTATCCGTTCCTAACTAAAGTATGATTTATAATAAAGTCAGCTACAAGGATGATGTACAATGCAATGCGCTATTCAAAATATATAGATATTGAGGGAATAGAAAAATCGGTCTTTTTTCATTTATTGAGGAAGGGTGAATTAAAATGATTAACTACATAAGCACTAAAAAACCAAACTTAGGCAATAGAACCATAAATGAAAGGAGGAAAAGAAAGGGGCTAGAGATAGAGAGGTTTATACGAGGTAGAGCCATTCTACAGTTATATAGTAGTATAGTTGTAGCATGAATGGGTCGGCTCAACCGGGGAAGGACCAAGCTCTCACAGAATACCAGTGTAAAATAGTTGCTTAATGCTTCTGTTTCGTATGGCGAGTGTAGAGAACCGGAGACCCTTTTTACTGGAAACGAGGCTTCCATCTTAGTCTCACTGCAACCCTGCATTTTGATTTGTAATAGAGGATAGATGTAGATGTCTATGGACTGCAGCAACCACTTATCATGAGGTGAACTGTGTGCTCGTTTGTCACCCTATCCTATAAAAAAAAGATTCAATGAATGTTTCTTGAACAAATGAGCATGTTAAATCGGCAAAGGTCTCCAAAGAATACTCCAAAAAAAAATATTTGCCAAATAATTTAGAGGAATGTCTTGTACATTGCAAGGAAATGTTTTCCTTGCACTGTAAGGAAAAATCATACATATATAACCAGCCTTTATACACGTTATGCAGAAATTTGCCTTTCTATCTTTCTAATAATTATTTGACATTGTTTCAGGTTCAAAAAGCACTGGTGGAGAATACAATGGTGCCATGTATCAACGCGAAGCCATACCAGTACACGGAGCTGCTGATGACGCTGCCCGATCTAGCGAGCCATTTCTTCCCGCGTGTATCGCTGGCTACCTGCCGGGCCATGTTAGACGCTCTCGGCCTCACACTCTACAGGCCCAACTCGTTAGTAATCTTTAATTAAAAGAATATGAGCAAGTTTTATACTGTATTGTGTGCTCAAGAGACTTACTTTGTTTCGTCTTATAAATGTTGTAAAAGTAGAAATAAAGTAAAGTAAAGTTACAGCCTATATACGTCCTACTGCTGGGCACAGGCCTCCCCTCATTTCTGATAAGGTTTTAGGGCAAGGAAGTGTCCGCCGAGCTGCCCCAATGCGTGTTGGCGAACTTCACATGTCTTAGAAATATTTTTTTTCTCTTATCCCTCAGACATGCAGGTTTCCTCACGATGTTTTCCTTCACCGCCGAACACATGGTAAATCAGCACTTAAAATTGCAATTAACAATTTCATTGGTGCCGGCGGGGATCGAACCCGGGTTACTCGCGTTCTGTTATATTTACAGCAAGCGTTAACCACCTGAGCTACCACGGCTCATACATGTTGTAAGAGGCTACTTAATTAATAATAATAATAATAAAGTTAAAGAAGGCTTATAAGATTTACTTTTCTTTTATTGTTGTGATTAATGAGGCACTTTTGTAAATTGTTATTTTTTTCGACTACCTAAGTCTTAGTAGATAACCAGCCCTTGGTGTCCTATGGATTCTGAAAGGGTTTGGTGATGATAATCACATTACATAGCCATTAAGAATGTTATATTATTCCCAGAAAGTTTCCGAGCATTTTTGAAATTTTTGAATTTTTTTGTAAAATATCCTGGAATGCCCTTTTTGCTATTTCTTAGTCTCTATACCTTTCTTGTTCAATGCTGTCCCTTATCTAAGATTTTGTAGGCAATGCTATGTTTTCATGCTACTCCGTGTGGCTGGTATTCTGTATTACGTTTGGTGTAAGAGCAAGGTGGCGAAGACAGTAAATACATTGAAATTTTTCAAGATATTCTGAAGTTGCTTTTGTTTATTGGGTTATAATTAAAAGATGATAAAATACAACAAGGGTTTAAAAATGTTTAACAGTATATCAATATAATTCTGGTATATTATTGGAAACACAAATTACTATAATATAAAAAGATATTTAAATAACCATGGTACAGAAAGTTATTAAAATTATTTAAATACTGATATATTTTCACAAAATATGTAATATATAATTACTCATTAAATAATACTAATTTTATGTACAGATTTTATTGGATATTAATTTTAATTTTACTAGGACTATGGGTGCTGTAAAGTACTCAAAAAGTCGAAAATTAAAATTAAAAAAAATTATAAAAATTAAACACGATAAAATCTGTGAAATTAGTTTGATATAAAATATATCTGTTTGTATAAAAAACATTGTTTTACTGATTGTTGGTGTTAAAATGTTGTTAAATGGAGGGTGTTTATGTGCGCAGGACACAGCTGCAAGTGCTGCGCAACTCGGGCAAGTGCAAGTCGGCGGCGGCGGGCGAGAACGGGCTTGCGCTGGTGCAGATCCGCGACGTGATGCAGCGCATGCCGCAGTTCAAGTACATGCTGCGGTCGGGGCTGGCGGACGACGAGCACGCGCACCAGGCGCACGCGGCGCACCCGCACCAGGCACACGCGCACGTGCAGCAGCAGCCGCACCACGCGCCGCGTCCCGCGCACGCCGCGCAGCCGCCGCACGCAAAGCGCGCGCGCGCCAACTGAACCCCCTAGTGATTCTCTAGTGATCCTCTAGTGCACTAAAGTGTGTCATTACCAAGTCCTAATACATTATCAACATGCTTGAGTGAAACCGCCCGTCTCAACCCTATACCAAAGCCTGTGATTGTTGAGTCCGAGCGAAGTGAATGTAATGAAAGTGAACTACTTTCAAGAAAATGGACATAGTAATTGTGTTTGAGTCTACTGAACCATCCCAAACTACCCTCATACTAAAATATGTGTTCAATGAGCATTAATTATAGTCAACCAAATCTAAAATATACCTTGACATTTTACATTAATCATTCCGCAATACTCACGATTCAAAATAACATTTTACGTGAATCCGAAGAATTATGAAGTTATCTATATATCATTACAACGTGTATAGTTTTTTTTATCACTAATTTAAATTCGAATCTTTCAAACAAAGCAAAATATTTAAAAAAATAACCAGTATCAACTTTTTTTACTTGACGTCGTTTCAATGATATGTTGCTAAATGATGATTAAAATTGATTGTTATGTAAATAATCGGCAAAAATATTCAAATAATCGGTAAAACTATTCAAATATGTAACCGAATCTGTAATTTTTTTATGTATTATTTGTTTTATTAAATTTTTATTTTTAAAATTCCTTAAATTACCTGAATCATGAATAAAACATTTTTTTACTTTGTCAACGTAAATTTGTGCAGGCAAAATAACTCATAATACAAGGCTGCACTGAAAAAACCACTATGTAATTATTTCAATCTCCCGCCATTTCAGGAGCTTACCCCGTTAGCTCATGGAAATGCTCGAATTCGATATGCATATGATATCACAGACCTCGGCTCAGGAAGATATCGAATTCGATATCAAATACTGCCCTATGAAAAAATTATTTTTTCGTTTTAAACAAATCTAAAGACAATATGCAATAGATAATAGTATCAAAGGCAAAGATATGCTCTTTTATTTTAAACCATAACCTGGCAATATTTCTTAGAAAAAAAAAAGAAATCACTCTGAACTTTCGGCATTCCACATGTCGCATTGATGAATGAATCGCTCAGTCTTTTTTATAGAATTTTATATTTGTGTCTGGACTAAAAACGAAAGTATTATACTTTTTTATATTCCTTGTAATATAGTAAATACGTAGATATATAATTTGTGGCATAAAAAGTGAAAAGTAAGTGCCAAAAGTACTTCGAAATCCAGAAGGCCCATTTTGGCGGTTGGGTCAAAAATGTGTTATTTTTCCAATTCTCATTTATTTTTAGTGTAAAATGTAACTAAAAATAGTTTTCTAACATATTTCAAATAACTTGACTTGTTGTATTTATTTCAAATTCACACAAAAATATTTTTGAAATATTGTACGAAATGTCATACAGATAAATATTATTATTTATTTATTTTTTTAATATTTTGGTATGAGTAACGAATAGAAACACATAAAACATAAAAATATACATATTTCCAAACATTTTCATATAAATTTCTCCAAAAACAAAAGTGTAGAATTCAAATTAGTAATAATTTTGGCACTAAAAGTGAAGTATATACTACTACTATGCTATAAAGGGTAATTTATGAATTTTATTATAATTTCTAGCAACCAAAAATAATTTTATTCGATAGTTTATACATTCAACAAGAATTCCTGTAAGTTTTATCCATAAATATTGTCTCAAAGTGAAAATATAGAAAAATTTGCAATATAGCAAAAAATTTGCTAATTTGCAAATTTTCCCGCCATTACGGTTCCGAGGGAACGGGAGTATAACATGTCGCGAGCTGTCTGACCTTACGGGTGAATCTTGTACGTTGCCATTTTTTGGTTAGCATGCTTGGCGCAATGAGTCTGACAGCTGTCAAAATGTATTTCTTAGATTTGGTTGACTATAGTCAATGTAGCAGTTCCATGCACTACCCCAACAGAACACAAGTGTACTGCTTTCAAGAAAACATAACATTCAAGCTAATATTATAAATTACTAGTAAATTGAAGATTTAGGCAAAAATTCACCATCAGTGCAATATATTGGAAACAATATAAATAAATGACGATATTTAGTTGTTAATACTTTAAAAAATTAAATGTAGTGTGTTATTAAAGATTAAAATGTGAAAGTGCCTACAGGACTCTATAGTTTTTGGATATGTGCTGAAAACTTAATAGTGAGTGACAATGGAGTCTTTGCAGACATACTATGCTGAAAATTATGTACATTTAAAAATTGAACTATTCTAATGGTTAAGATGTAGGTATGTCAATTTTTCCATAAATTATACAAATTGTTTTATAAAAGTTGTAAATGTGAAGATCTAACTTATAATGATCTATGACAACTATATAATAGAAGACTGAGAATTTTATTTTTTAATTATTTCTTAGATTGCAAACCTATGAAATGTTGTGAAAGTGTGGTTTGATGTTTTTATTACTTTGCATATTTGCAGTTGTAATGTGTTAATTTATAATCTGCATGTGCATGCAGGGTTGTTTATAGCAATAAAATTATTAAAAAGTACTTTAGTATTTATACCTATAAAAGTATTGCTTGAACAGCGACATAGGCTTTATTATTATCATCACAATGAAAGACACACTTAATCACATGAATAACGGTCACATTTATTAAGGAAAATTGCATCCTTCTAACTTTAATAGGAAAATTAGTTCAATATTGACCAAAATGTAAGATATTATTGGTAATATTTTAAATTTGTGGCTTCTGAGTAAGCTAACATATCTTTTAAAAAATTATATTATCTTTGTTTTAATGGCCAAAAATAACAATGGAAGATTTAATACAAATACATTGACAAATCAAAACTTTTCGTTTTGAAATAAATTTTACTACTATGTTAATAGTAGCAGCATATCAAAGCGCACAAATGTTTTTTGGCCTAAAACAGTAGAAATATATTGGCATTGTGTAAAGTTATTTTGAATTTTTATTATCGGTTCCTATAGATAGGTATTAAAGAAGTTAGATTTCTTTATGCAAAACAACAATATGTCTAATAATTAGTAAAGATGGGCCGAATATGGATTTCACCGAATACGAATATTCGGCCGAAAGTTTGGTAAAACTTATACCGAACTAAATATTCGGCCATTATTCGGCAGGATCACCTTGGTACCTAACCAATATATGTCGAAACTTGTTGCCCTAAAGCACGCGGGATTAGCGTCGGACCCTGCCCTCCCTCCCCCTGCGCACCTGACATGTTGTTGCATCATCTAGTACTGACAAATTGCCGGTTGCTTATGTTTTGACTATTTTTGTGAGCAAAAAAGTATTTCATTATGTTTCGTCATTAAGAATGTTATTCTTAGTGCAAATTAATAATTACATGATAAAAATGGGTTGCATATCTACTATTTGGACTTACTTATTGTAGAGAAACTGACAACCAAGTGAAATGAACTAATGTAAAAAAATAAGCTTTCTATTTGCTATAACTGGAAATACCTCCAAAACGTAACGCTATAAAAGTAGATTTAATCCATAAATAAAATGTACTTTCAACAGTAAAATTATGAAAGATATGGCATTACTCAATTCATATAATATATTAATACAGTGGACACTGAATACCTTTTTAACGAATATTCGGTGATTTAGCTGAATATTCGGCCAAATACGAATATTCGGTAAACTGCCGAATATACCGAATATGAAACGAATTTTCGGCCCATCTCTAATCATTAGGGGAACCGATACAGTAATACTGCATTTCAAAAACAATAACAGTTCACCACATACCAGTGATAAAAAAACTTTTATATTTAGAATATTTTTGAGAATAATTTCTTTAAAGAAAGTCATTCCACATAGACACATACTGAAAGGATTTTGTTAGCCTTTCTGGCAGATATTATGACAAATTAACGAAATCTTTTCTTTGCTTCATTGGTCATTTGTAGAATATGTTTTCTCTAGTAATGGTCTTCACATTTGTTTATAGTTTTTTTTAATAAATACGAAAGCTATAGCATGATTAACAGTGAAGGCTATTATTATGTTAGTCATAAATCTCTTACTATGTAACACAGTGCTGTGTAAATTGTATGCTAAATTATTTATGAAGTAGCTGTAAGTATGATCTATTTGATATATTTTATGAGTTGTAAATTACAATGGTTCTTCAGAACACAGCGTCTTGTGGTCGTTGGTTCTGTTTAAAAAGTAAAAAGATTCTTTGTAATGAGCTCTTTTATTTAAAAATTACTGTAATCACTATTTCAATGTTGCTAAGAGTTAATAATGTATGAGAAAGCTATAGTCGTTAGTCGGTAGGTGATGAAAAAGACTAGGCTTGGAATTTCTGTGTGATACAATTTGTAACAAGAATGTATTCAAGTGAGTGTTCTCACTTAGCGGTCAGCCGCCGTAGAGTATATTACTTGAGGATGCCTCGTGTAGAGGCGAAACACGTGTCGTATTATCGTCGATGGTGTGTCTTGCCTGGAATAGTGGTGTTGAGAGTAGTGGTGCTTGGTCTAGTGGTGACGGAGTTAGTGTATGCAATTGAGGGAGGACGGGAGGTGCGCTTCAATCCAGGTAAGACACATCATTTTATATGTTTAGCGGAAAGTTGCAAAGAAATTTATATTTTTATTTTTTATTATAATGGATTTCCGCAAAGTAACGCCTGATTCTATCAATTAACATTAGTAACTCACAGCCGAGTCGATCAGTAGGCTTAAGTGGTAATAGTTGGCCATATATCTCAAAGAATCTACAACTGATGAGAATTAAAGTTTCTCGAGCGGCGCCCATGGACTACGAATACACTGATGGGTGAGCTACTATTTCATATTACGTGAGGGATGTGGATGGACGGCCTTCGCTATGTTCGTCTTCCGTGGATGTTTCTGCCCTGCTTAAACTTAGCCCCGCGTGCAACTGTGGAATATGGAGGAGTAGAGTCCCTCAATGTTTGTGTTTTTTTAAAGACTAAAAAGTAGTTCTACTTGATGACAGCTCTAAGTTTTTCTCA